CCATTTTATCGCGGAGATTAACTCTCAGGTCCGGAACTGCTACACCATTTTACGACAGGTCCGGAACTACAACAGCGGGTCGACTCGGGTTCGGATCTGGGACGACACTAGCACAGTGCGGATTGTTGCAATTCTGAACTTCATAATTAGCGTCGGCGCGGCGGCCCAAGACTGGTACGACTGCAGATTCGTCACTCCTGGCGCTGGTGTGGTATAACCTCATGGCTGATGCTGATACGACGCTCCTATGGCAAGTCTTGGTGTGTAACACTGATCTGGTCCAAATCGGCTACATCGCGGTAATGGGCCTGGTTCATGATCACTCCGGTCCTATATTCTTACATCAGCAAAAACCTGCCGCAGCGGCTCTCTGTCGACAGTGGGGACTCACAGCGAACACAACATGCTATTCTGATACCGAAACAGAGTGGTAAGGGTGGACCAGTTGGGACTGTTGGGGCATACTGAGTTATTACCTCTAGTTTGCCAAGGCCTACGGGCTGGGACTGGGCCGAGGTCCACGCTCGGGTGAACTGGGGAACCATATAGGGAAGACGGTCGGAAGAGAAGGGGGAGGTGAGCAAGGTGTACCCGCGACACGAAGCTCAGAGTGGGGGCATTGGCGCTCAGGCGGTTGCACCGAGGGCGAGGAGAAAGCACGCGGTAGAACCCCCAGCGCGCAAGCGGTTACTACTCGTGTGGGAGGAGAAAGGCAAAGAGACTGGGCGAGAAGGTGGGGAGTGCCTGGCGTAGGGGGCACTCAGCATAGCGCATTTCAACCGGGGAGGAAGCAGCGAGTCAGGTGTGCCTCGCATAAGCGCGATTGACTTCGGAGTCTTATCGCAAAACTATGGAGTGAAGACGAAGATTAGTATGCCCCTCCCGAGTCACAATACAGAACCAAAGTTGTTCCAAGTCACAAGACAGAACCAACAGCCATGAAAGGCTCCCATGTGAGAGACAGAGGAGAGAGAACAAGAGTGCCAGGAGTACAGTGCGAGCAGGCGGGAAAGACGTTATCTAGGCAGCCATGACCGAGGTGTGGAAATGGGCACCGGCGTACGAGGCGCTTCTGTGACTTGAAAAGGGACATACTGCAGGTGTGATCGGCACCCGTTGTTGAATTGATCAGCGTTCACGCTGAAGAGAGAAACAGATGCACCCACTGTTGGTGTGACCAGTCACTTTCCCCCGCTGCATAATCTCTGTGACACATGCGATCCTTACGACCAACATTTTGTCATGAAAATGTCGCAGATAATCATTTATGCCATCTGTTATTTTATACTGATGAGACAATCAATAACCCCCAGGGTGGGTGTGATTCAGCCATTCGCGCAGAAGGGAGAACCAGAAATACCCGCTGTTCGTGGGAACAACTGCTCCCACTGATGATGCAATCAGCCATACTTACTGTTCGTGGGAACGGCCACTCTCAGACGACATGAGGATGAATTCTAGGCTGGCATCCTCCACTGTCGGCGCCAATAGCAGATCAGACCACATATTCACAAGGGGGATTTGAAAATGCGAATTTTGACCGTACAGATCTTATTTTCGTGACCAAATGAACATAACGTCAGGGGACAGCACGGTTGTAACTCCCCTGAGTGTGTCGTAGCACTGCAGGCTGGGAGAGAGAGCGAGAAAGGGGGACTGACACACAGCAAAGAGAAGAGAGAGAGTAAGAGAGAGAGAGAGAGAGCAAGAGTAAGAGAGAGAGAGAAAGAGAGAAAGAGAGAGAGAGAGAGAGAGAGAGAGAGAGAGAGAGAGAGAGAGAGAAGAGAGAGAAGAGAGAGAGAGAG